GACAAATTAAATAAACCACACAATTCCTTTAAAAAGTTCCACATCTTAGTATAACATTCCGTACTTGTATAACTTATCAGTTATATATATTATCTCACCAATATATCCGGTCATGTCACTAATAGGTAGATAGGTAATAGGTAGTAGGTACCTTTCTATTGTTAAAATTTGCGATGCGCAAACGACCTACCAAATTTCTTACCTGAGGTACTAATGATGCGCAAACGACAAACTCCGGATTTACGGTGGTAAGGCGGGTACAACTCTACATAGTCTCCTGAACTGCAGGTCAATTGTAGCGACCAGTAATAGTATACGAATCGGACAAAAGCGGTTTATAGTAGGACGGGTAGGCGGTTTATACAATTTAGAACGTCTACGATCAAATGAATCACGAAATCATAAAACAAAAATGTTTCGTTTGAAAAAAATATTTTTAATACGGCACTGAAATAGAATATACTCTGAAACTAATCCACATTCCACTCTAATACGAATTAAACAAATCCTAATAGTGATTAGAATGCAAGTGGATGGAGTACAAGGATATTTTCAATGGTAGGGGTTTCATTAAAAAAAATTATATTTATAAATATACAAATATTAATTGAATTTTATTCATTTGTGTATAATATATTATATCCTACATGGTATAGTAAAAAAAATATGAAGAGAATGTTTGATTACTGTTGGATTCTTATAATTGGACGTGGAGACCAAACTAATTTAGGTACCCATATTAAGTGGTTGACCACATAAACCGAAATTAATTATTTAGTAGGTACACATAATATGCATTGGAATCGGGACCAAACCATTTTGTCCATTTTTCCCATATCATACAGTTGCAGCCTCCCATAAGCTAAGCCCCCCCCCCAAAAAAAAAAACTTGTAATAGCCAACTCAAAATAAATTATTCAATTATTTCATAAAATATTAACAAATCTTTAAAAATTAAATGTATTTCTTATTATTTTTTTTTTTTTTTGAAAAAAAATGTAATTATTTAATTTTTTAAATTTTTATTTAAACTTTTTTTTTTATATTGCCTTAAATATGGTAAGTATCATAAGCTGTATGCTTGTATTCGTTTTAAGGAAACAATTTATGTCGGTATGATATAAATTATTTTGTATTTGGTAAGATTACTACACATAATTTTACAGTATACCTATGCACTGAACTATATTAACATAGAGATAGGTAATAGTGGAATAAAAAATCCCTGAAAAAAAATCCCTGAACCTAACCTAACCTAAAATAACCCCCAGACTACAATATTACTGACAACCACATGGCATTTTTAAAACGTAATTAGTGTAATTATTACATTATTAATATTTCATTACAAATAAATTATTATACTTAGGTACACTTGTTATTAAAAAATTAACAAGTAATAAATAATATTCAAAAATCAACAATAATATTGTTTTGTTTTATATCACGATGTGAAACAACATACCTAATAATATGTTAATAGTTCTTTTAAACGATTACTGATTAGGTACCCACATCATTAACTATTTGTTTAATAATTATTTATTTTATTTGATGTATCCGATCATTCGAAATATTTTTATTTTATAATCTTTTAAATATTGTATCTTTTTTCCCTACAACATAATTTTATTGTAATGTTATTTCATCACTTGTCTGAATAGTATATACCTTTTCTAACTTAATTGCTTTCTTATCATGTATAATGTACAATATTTTGTTATAATATGTATGATATATAATTTGTTGAGCTGTAATAGTATCCGACTAAAAGCTATTAAAATGAAAAAAAATAAAAAAATATTGTATCTACCTTTATTAAGTAAATCTCGTAAAATCTACTTCAGATAATAATTATTATATACATATCGTTAAAATATTATTAGGAAACGTAATATTTTATGTAGGGGATGTATTATAATATATAATATAAAGGCATTAAGAGGATGCCATCGCACTATTTGTTTTCTCTTTCTGGCCCACGACCAACAAAATGCATTTACACAGAATCATTTTTTATATGTTTTTAAGTAATCTTAGAACCATTTCACCCATTACAAAAAAATAGAGAATTATATTTTTGAGGGAATAACAAAGAGAGAGAAAACAAATAGTGCGCTGACATCCTCTTAAACAAAAAATATTATTGTTAAGGTTTGAAAATTATAATTCAAATATTAATAAATAAGGTATAATTAAATACTTGAGTTAATAAATAATTGATTTTGCTTATATGATTTTTTTATATTTTTAAGTGAACATATTATGTGGGTGTAGGGTAGGGGCTTTTCATGTAATGTCAGGTGGGGGGCTACAGCCCCCCTCCTCAACCTTTCAGCCCTAGTTGTGACATTGTGCAGCCCATATTATTATTATTATTATTAGCTTTATTGACGGGAAAAACTCCATTTAAAAAACAATATATATAAAATTGTGTAGAGACACAGATACAATAGAATTAGGTACGAAATACGAATAATATAAAATTCCTATTCGATTATATAACAAAGAACATATTATGAGGTATATAATTCAATAATTGTACAGCCATATTTAATTATTAACTAAAATTAATGTCTATAGTGTTTCCTTTAGACAACAGTATATTTGTAGGTGATGATTTTAAGTATGTTTTAGAAACATTATTGTTTAAACAACTTTCTTGATTTCTGGTGGGTTTGATATTAATTCGAAAATTTAATCGTTCCAGTAAATAAAGGCAGTCTATTGAGTCATATAATTGTTTTTCTCCTTGTATTTAGCATTCCGTTATATAATCTGAATGTCGTGGACCTGCAGTGCTCACATTAGGTTGAATCCACCGTAGTTGAATATAATATTAAGCTATCAAATTTTATACATATTTTATACATCAAAATTTTCAAAGCAATTACGCCTCCGGAATATGAAATTAAATACTACCACGGGTGTTGTGCGGTTTGAAAAAATAAATAAATATTAAAAACAAGAAATCAAGATAAAAATATAAGCACAGAATTTTCCCACCAATAATAAATATACGATGGCCGACTCGTGCAGAGAGGGTTTATCTGGGGGAAAAAAGGCGGTCAAAACGGATAATAGGGCCCCTATAATAGATTTTCCATTAATAAAATATAAAATCGGTATATTATAACCAACACGTTCAAATTAAAAAAACACCCTTATCATAAAAGTGAACGGTTGTATACAATGGAAGTGTTCCCTTAACCCGTTCCACATCCCTTACACAGTTACACTACCCAGCTAAATAAAAACAGGGTAAACCGTCTAAAATATACATGTATACCTATATTATTATGTATTGCATATTATACAATAATATAGTTTTTACTACCTACCTAACTACCTGTAAGCGTGAAGTACATCATGTGTGATATTCAGCTTTCGTGGCGTATAATAAAGTGACGAATCAGAGTTGTTTTACCCGAAACTATATCATATATTATTATAATTAATATTATTATACTAGGTATCTTCTAATTATTTCAGTATAATATATTATGAATGTTATTCACAATCCGTGTTATCATCGTTATTATTACGTTTGAATGACAGTATATGAAACAGAAAATGTTTTTTTTTTTTGAAACTAGGTATATGCTTAAATAATGTTAAATATTATAATATTATATCATAAGGGAACTATTAATACGTAATAAATATAACAATACTAATGGTACGCAAGATGAAAATAAAACTCGTTCGTCCATCGTCTGCAGCGTCGACGAGGGGCTTGCTGGTATTTGGGACTTAGCAGGCCAGTAGGACTGTTTTAATCTATGTGTGTCGACCACTGTTGGTCCGCTAAATCCCTAACACCAAAACAAGCATTGAAGCGCATGTCCTGCGTCGGTGGTCCTTCGTCCTCTGTCGGAAGTATGACCATGGCGTTCGTATATAGGTAGTATAGTGAATATTATCGTCGTAGTCCGTTTAATATTCTGTATGATTGTATGTCCTGCAAAGTAAAAAAAACACGTAATCACGTTAAGATAATATAAATATTTAGGTGGAGAATCAAAACATGCGCTACGAGCGGATATTTTTATTAAATAGACATAGTAATAATTTTCTATCGTAGATGTTTCCTATCGAAAACTGTTTCACGGCGGCGGGCATAGTATACTGGCCATAATATGGACTCAGGTGTGACTTCGCAATGCAAGAATAAAGCTGATTAAAATAATTAGTTCCAATCAATCAGTAATTAAATAATAGGCAAACATTTCGCAAAATTACATATATTATATTATTATGAACACTGGCAGCAGCCTACAGACACTATAACATCACGCGTACCATAAAGTTAAGAGGACGTGATACCTGCATGTGTTGTCTCCGTCTTACAAGTGCATAACATAGCAAATTCTACGCATAGCAGAACACGTGCATCTCCGTTAGTTCAAAAATTAGAGTGAGTTGACCTCTTATAACATCTAAAGGTAAGATTATTATCTAGACAACCTTTCGGGTTTTTTATTATATTTTAATTTTAAAGCGAGCGATGAGTATTTTAAAATTATAAATTGTTTGTACATCTTAAAGTAGTCATAACTTGCTTAAAAATTAAAATATAATAAAAAGCTCAAGAGGTTGTCTAGATAATAATCTTACCTTTAGATGTTATAAGAGGTCAATTTGCTCTAATTTTTTATCTAACGGAGATACACGTGTTCTGCTATGCGTAGAATTTTCCATGTTACGCACTTGTATAAGACGGAGACAACACATGCGGGTATCACGTCCTCTTAACCAAAAAACGAAAAGTCATTATTATGGTTAGGTATAGATTAACTAAGATGATAATATATTATAATACTCTATAATTAGGGTTGCCACCTTTGAAAGACAGCAGCCCCGGAGACAGGCCGAGATAAGCAAAAAAAAAAAAAAAAAGGTCATCAGAAAAAATTTTAATATAATCACATATTTTATTATTGAAAATTACAAATTTTATAATAAATATGATTAAAAATCCCGAACAAGAACAAGAAAAATTATTTTAATTTAAAATCATACTTAATATTATTTGTTGCACATTTCAATAATTTTTCTTGTTCGGGATTTTTTAAAAAGTACAAAAATTCTTGACAGTTCATATTGTAATTTAATTTGACGCAGAGTTCTGATTTAACCATTTCCACTGATAGACGATTTCTTTCATCGGACCATAAATTTCCCATCAATGAAAATACTCGTTCAACAAAAGCATTACTTATGGGAATTGAAAATATTTTTCCAATAATTTTTGGAAGTTCAGTGAAATCGTTTTTTTTGAACAACTCTACCCACATTAAGTCTGAAGATAAGTTCATTGTTGAAAGCTCTACCCAGACTCCTTGCACATTTTTTACTTCGTCGTAAAGTCGGTCTTCTTCAATATTTTTTAATCCTAACAAATTCACAGATTTTAATGCATCATCATACTCAACTGTTTTGTTTTTTAAATTAAAGTTTGAAAACATCTTAAAAATAGAATCGTTGAAGTCGTATTTTTTTTTTAAATAATCAATAGTTTTTTTATACACTTCATTAGCTTCTTTTTTAAACATTACTAGCTCACTTTCTTGAAGTGATGAAATACTTCTCGTAACTTTTGAACCATAAAATGAATCATTCAATCGATTTTCAATTTTATCTTTTAGACCTTGCATAACATTGTGTAAGTCAACTGATGTTACGGAATTTGTCTCGAGTATTAATATTGCCTCATTTAGTATATTCATGTAGTGGTGAATAAAGTACAAAAAACATTCTGGTAATGTTACTTTGCGTGACAAATCGGTCATTTCTGTCGTGTCAATATTTTTGACAAACTTCCATATGACTTGATGACATTTTTCTTCTCCTTGGTATTTAAAATAAGATGAAACAGCAGGCCAAGACATTATCAGTCTATCGACAGCTTTAAACAAACTTAGCCATCTTGTTGGTCCATGTCGAAGAACTTTTCTGTATTCAATTTCAAATTCTTCAAAAAAAATTTGAAGTTCTTTTACGCGCTTAGCACTATTTGAAAATTCGGCGTACACTTTCAACACTAAGTTTTCTACATCATATGTTAATTGTTTCATAGAGTTTCTAGCAGCATTGTGAATAACGTGGCAATTACAATTTGCTTTTATTATTTTAGTTTCTGGATGTTTTTCGAGAAGTTTTTGATAGACCGAATTACGAATGCCGTAATTTACTGATGCATTGTCGGCAGAGAATCCAGATAATAATTCAGGGTCTAAATTTGATTGCTGTATAAAATTTTCAATATTTTCGAAAATTTTTAATGATGTCTCATCTGGATCTTCATAAAAATCCATTAGTTTATTTTGGATACCTTTTTGAATGTGAAAATACTGAACAACAATAGGGTACATTTTTTGGGAACCCTTATTAGACGCATCAATAGCAATAGAAAAATAACTACCATTTTGAAAAGCCGTAACCATTTTCAAATCTTGAATGGCTAGTTCTATTGAATTAGGACTGAGAATGTTTTTTACTATTGCTTCTGCTTTAGTACGTCCACAGTGAACTTTTTTTGCCATAACAGAATCTCCGTATAGGGAAGTATTCAATTTTATTCCACAGTCCATACTTAAATAGCTATGATGGTGATTGATTGCGTGGTAAATTGATGCTATTTCAATGATTGCTACTTTAAGTTCATCCGAGCTATTTCGTTTAATCATAAATTTGGTCATTAAAGAATTATTTTTTAAATTCTGTGTAGTTTTTTTATGGTTTTCACTGTTTAAATGAGTAGTCAGAGCCTTTTCACCGTCCCATTTTACAGTAAAATTTACGTTACAAAATGAACATTTAGCTTTTTTCTCATCTATTTTAACTAACCATTTCTTATAATTTTCGTTAGTTAACCATGACTCTTTAAACTTAGTTTCATACTTTTTGATTTTTCTTGGGTTATCTTCAAATTCTTCCATGATCATAATAATTAATAAATCTAAAATAAATATCGATACACTGACACAAAATATATTCGAATTCGATCGAACACCCTCGACTATGATGTTGAAACTGATTCGTAAAATCGTAATCGTAGACTCATAAAGTCATAAACCGTAATTCATAATCTTATTATTCTTGTTATCTTGAATAAATGGTTTTTATACCGGAAACTAATAAAAAAAAAAAAGGCATAATAATAAAAACAAGTCTATATAAGACTATAAATTGTATGTTATCTTATCTTTATCTCCGACCCGGAGAATAATTCTCTGAACCCGGAGCCCGTAGATTTATACATAAACCCGGATTCTCCGGGTGAAACCCGGAGAGGTGGCAACCCTATCTATAATATGTGTACACAGTTGCATTATTTTAAGTCGTCTACTGTGTGCACTATTGTATCGGAGTATTTAATCGTTTTCAATCTAACGACTTCCGGAACTAATCGTGTACCCAGTAACTGTATGGGCGTACCCAAGAATTTTTCAATGAGGGGTCCGCATTTTTAAACATCTAAAACAAGCATAAACAAAAATTATACGTCATTAAAAACAATAAATTATTTCAATCAATGAAGAGGGTCCAGACCCCAAAACCTCCCACTTTGCAGGGTACGCCCCTGCCCAGTACCCACACTATATACGTCTCTACTTGATATAATAATAATCACGACTCCGACATCCAAGTCGAGCGGTCGTAGATATCGATGAGAACGAACGATGTAAAATTTCAATCGTCCATCCCCATCTTCACTAATATGTATTAACTATTAACCATTCGTTAGTGAGTCGGACGTTTCGGTGTGTCACCTGTCTTTAAAATGTTTTTTTGTCTTTATGTATTATTTATTATTATTTTTGCTCCATTTATATATAATATATAGATATAATTCTACTCTACGTGTGTTGTGACTGAACTCCACCTAAACGGTTGGACCGATTTGAATGAATTTTTTCGTATGCGTTTGGGTGACGCCTCGGATAATTTAGATTCACAAATCATCCCCCTAGGTGCAACCAGGGGATGTGCTGAAATGAGGATTTAGAGATTTAAGGTGGACATTTTTGTTTATAAATGGTCGTCATGGGTTTTACAGCTATCGTAATAATAATTATTGGTTGCCGTGAAATCAATGTATTCATTTAATGCATTTAATTTTTTTGTACGCTGTGTTTGGATATTATATGTATCGCAAATTACGTAAATATTGAGCGTATTTTACTCACATATAAGTTACGTACATAAAACAATGACACGTCTTCGTGGACGAGGTGGAAATATTGGTCGACTGACTCGGCATTCACAATTTATTAGTCCAGCCGTTTAGGAGGAGTTCAGTGACATACTTGGTATAACTTTGATACTTTAGAGTTAAATTCAAAAGTAAACGTACAAACAGCATGGGGTCCGCGATCTACCGCAGCTAGATTGCCTACCTGATAATATACTGCTGCGAATCAGAATTTTTATCCCAGGCAACAGAAGAGTTAAGATAAATTTTGAACACCATACACCAAATATTAAATAAAGAATTGAACAAAGTTTGAGACCTATAGAGTTGGTACATTTAACGGGAAACGAAGTGCACGGAATCAGCTAGTATATGTATAATAATATAATATTTTTAGATTCTGAGAGGAGCGAGGAAGCTAGTGGTTTTACAATGGTGTTTATTTATTTTTATTTTTTTTCCTTTTTATATCCTGAGTACAAAATTTCTACCAGAAGCAGTGCTTCAATTTCAGCATAATATAGTACTTACCTTATCTTTTAGCAAATTGGATCAAGATGGTACTTTAGAGAGGTCATTTTCGATTTTTTCAATAGTTATTTAATACCACGGGAAAAACTACTGTCAAATTACGAAAAACCGCTTGAAATGGGATTTTAATTTCTAACGATTTGTTTATCACCGTAGCAACGAATAAAAAATTATAACATAATATTAATTCAACTTACTTGATCAACTTACATGATATAGTAAATAATAACAATATAGAATATCCAGACTGACAAGCCGTCTCCGCTCAGAATCGTTTTTCTTATACAATGATATTATATCATTGAATTCAAGTTTAATACAATCCTTTGTACAAGGACCCACTTGTAACCTACTGTACAGCAGAGCGACACACACCCGCTTTTTTTTAAGTTTAATATAATATTATACTATATTTCAACAGGCAATTTCATTTCAATTTGGGTTTTTCTTCGATCGTTTTGCGGATTAACCGCTGAATTCGCTTCGCCGTATCCGCTTATCCGTATCTATTGGTTGCCCCACCACCCTAATCCGCGGAATGAGTGGAAAAGTGGAGTCTCGATATGTCGAAAACTTTAATATGTCGAAATAAATGCCGTTACCTTGCCTAATCTAACCTACATAGCCTAACCGTAATAAGTTAAAAAAATTTAATTTCCCTTGAATTTCGACTTATCATCGAGATTCCACTGTATTATAATATATTTATATAATACTATATAAAATATATAGTTATGATAATCTATATCTAATATATAAAGCTGTAGAGTTTGTGTGTTTCTAATCTCAGGAACTACTGGTTCGAAATGCAAAATTATTTTTTTGTTGGATAGTTCATTCATCGAGAAAGGCTATAGGCTATATAACATCACTCTAAGACCAATTAATAGAAGTGCTCAAACAGGGATTTTGAGATTTACGATAGAAATATTTGTTTATAAATCGTTGCTATTGGTTATAGGAGAAATAGTTAATAGAAATAGTATTTATTTATTATTGGTTGCTATTGGTTAATCGGGCAGATCAAGTACAAGCATGCATCAAATTGAATTTTCTACCAGGGTGGCTGAGTTGCAATTACTGCAGTTTGAGTCATATAGAGTTGGTACATTTAACGGACAACGAAGTGCACAGGATCAGCTAGTACTATATAAATATATAATTTATAAAGGTACACGTTAGCCGAGAATGACTCTAGCGACTGGTCACCGTCGCCGTAGAATAACTTTTTATTCCATCGGTTTTTTTTCTCTTTATACTAAATATTATATACCTATTCCCTCGCCTCGTAAAGTATACAAAAAGGATATAACGGCCATACTATATATTATTATATTATAATAATAATATACCCACAGGTAGAAATATAATATTATTCCGCGTTTGGAAATTCTCTCGTCGTCTCGTATGCTGGCACGGTTTCTCTCGGGGGTCGCGGGTCAACAAAACGACCGTCGCGGACAATGACGCGGAGCATTCAATTTCGAACGATATACAAGCTTGTTATATTATATTGGAACACATCCAACGATCGCATATAATATTATAATAAGCCGCCACCGACACCGCCACCGTAAGTCGTGTGTATAATAATAATATAGTCGTTTTTATGATATTATGTGACCATTATCACTGCGCAGACCTGAGCACAATTTGTCATTATTTAATTATATATTACCATCGTTTTTGCATTACATAATTCAATATATATAATATCCCTACAAATCATAATATTTATTATACGGTTGTTTAGTTGTTATACCAATAACAATACAATATAATACACATTTCATACGCACACGACATATTATTATAACTTTAGACATTGCAGGGGTACCTATCACACGTTACTATAATATAACGATAATATTATTAATATAGCGTAATTATTTAATACATTACATAAAATCAAACGATACATCATTTTTTTTTTTTATAACAAACGTGTTAGTCACACTATTTCATATATCCACACGTTTTTATGCTGTGACTTTTTTATTAAAGAACACTCGTAAATAATATTTAAAAACTATTTTAACGTTTTGAAAATAATTGTTTTGCATAATTTTAAGTCGCTAATAAACAACAATTTAAAAAAATTTTTACAATTTTGTATTGTTATCATTTTACTTTTTTTTGATGACAACGTACGTTTTTAATTCCATATTCCGAGACAGAATATTTTTCTGAGTACTTCGATACATGAATTCAAGTAATTTATCCCTCGTATCTATACTCAGAGTGTTTGAGTTTTAAGTTATAACTCACACGCCCTCATATTTATAACTTATAACTTGTAAGTATTTAATTGAGAGGAGTTGAATGGCACAGGTGTATACCGAAAAATGTGGTTCCACTACTTCGTTCATCTAAACTTAAATACTCATACTTTATCCGAAATTGGATTTTTGTATATCTAAATAAGCCGAAAAATATTCTGCTGTAGAATAAGGGGTTAAAAATTTGTGTCATCATTAAAAAAAGGAACTTAAAAAAATGACAACAGCCAAAAAATTTAATTATTTTTTTTTTAAATGTCGTGTTATATAATTATGTAAATAAAATATATTTCTGACATTTTTTCAAAAATTATCACCGTTTTTTAAATAATTAATATCCTACTTTAAATGAATCACTGTTCACCTGGTAGAACAACCTACAAAAATGTAATACGTATTTATTTTAAAGACACATTATATAAATTATAATTATATGTATATATTTTTTCTTCGGCCTAATATCATAATACGCACGAGGAGCGGATGTTAAAACAATCTGGTAAAATAATTTGAATCCAGCTGCAAACCAGTCAATAGTATTTATTATTATAATTTATATTATACATTTATTAATAATATTATATTATAATAGTCACGGCGAGATTACTTACACCCGACGAAACGAGTGTAGTGATAATATTGAGTTCAGAATAACGTTGAAAAGCGAATCAAATTATTATTTATTTAATTTTTTTTATATCCGGTTCGAAAAACCAGTTAGATATATATAATATATATTACACCTGTTGTATTTGCGGTGATCCAAAAAAGTTTACAAGAGATCATTACTCTATGCTCTTACTGCAGCACACGTACCTCTGGTATGACATCCGTAACTACGTAAGTCCTATATAATATAGGTAATTAATAAATTCGATGAAAAAAAAAATATATGTACTATAAGAATTTGTCTATTGAATTTTAAATGGAAAAA